ACCGGTTGGCCCTCTGGGACTCCGAGGCTCTGTCGCCTGCAGATGGTGGCTGTGTCCGTCCTGTCTGTGTCCTGTTGTGCTGACCGGCAGCCCCGCTGCGTGAGGCGAGGCAGCATCTGTTTTGTCTCACTCCTTTTCGTCTTTTTACTACTTCTACTGGGGCAGTTTCCCTTTCTGTTTGTTTTTGTTTTGATAGTTTGTAGTTTCTTCGTCGTTTTTTTGAGACACGGTCACGTTGAGTTGTGTTGGACCGTTTTCCGCACCCTGACTTGTGGTCTTGTGGGTTTTTGCCTTTAATGTCTGGTAACTTCCTAAATGTCTCCAGTGCCCGATTCACTGTCTAGAAAAGGGCGATGAGGAAATGACATGATGACTGTGTGCGGTGACCCGTGCAGGTGCCCACAGGCACCCTCTGACTGCCGCTGTAAGGATAGGTGGTGGAAGGGGGGTTGTTCCAGGAGCGGCGCCCAGTGTCCGTGCAAAGGCCCTGGGGCAGAGCTGAGCCTGGTGGGTACAGGGAAGTGAAGCAGCATGACTGGCTGGAGCCGGGAGAGTGAGTGGGGAGAGGGGAGAGGGGACCTTGGACTTTTACCCCAGGGAGGTGGGTGCGCTGAGGGCTGTAGGCAGAGGAATGGGCCTGGTGCCATGAGAACAGCCTGTGGGGGGTGAAGGCCTAAGCCAGGACCCAGGGTGGACCAGTTGGAGGCAGAGGAGGGGTCAGTGGACCCTGGAAAAGTCTGGCTGAAGAGCCTTCCTGGCGGAGGGCACTGCCGTGCAAAGGCCCTGGGGCAGGTTGGGCCTGGTGAGTGGGAGAGACACTGAGGTGCCCATGTGTCTGCAGTGGAGTGAGCGAAGGCAAGAGAAGGGAGGGTGGTGTGAGTGAGAGAGAGAGAGTGTGTGCGTGCACGCACGCATGTGTGCACGTGTGTGTGTGCACGCGTGTGTGTGCGCGCGCAGTCTCCTTGTCTGAACTGGCTTGCAGGCTAAACTGGCCCCGTGAGGTCACCCCTGGGCTGGGGTTGGTGGGGACTCGTCACGCCGCCTTTCCCAGAATCCCTCGCCCCACCCTGAACCCAGCACCCTCACTTCCTCCTGCTGCTCCTCTGCTCGGAACTCCCTCCCTCGGACCACTTCCTCCTCCTTGACCAGGACACCCGCGTGCTGGGGAGAGACCATGAGCCCTGGCCTTGAAGGGCACCCGACCAGGGCTCCCATCTGGACTCTTGGGGTGCGCCCACCCTTGACTCCCATGGGTGCTTGGTGCACAGCAGGCCTCCGGCTCCTGAGGCCCAGGCCTGCCATGTGGAACGTGTGCCCTGCCACCTGCCCGCTGCCGTCCTGGGCTCTCGGGCACACCTGTGACCTGCTTGTTCCAAGTTTCCTCTGCCTTCACCTGTCCTCTGTCCTCTGCCCCCCCAGCCTCCCTTCCTGTACTCAGCCCTGGCTGGGGATGTGGAGAGGTGCAGCCTGGCCCTGTCTCCCCACCTTGGGACTGACCAGGGCTAGGGCATATTTATTCATTTGCTCCTTCCTTCCCTCATAGAGATTGACTGAACCCAGCCTGGGATGGGGAAGGATTTGGAGAGGGCATTATGGGCTGGGCGTGGAGATGGCTCTGGGATGCTGTGTGGGACTGGGTCCCGCATGTCTCCATCTGCCTGATAAGTCACACTGTGTGCCCACGTGAGTGCTGGCCCACTGTCCCCCTGCTGGCCAGCATGCCAACCCATAGAGGGCATACTACCTGCCCCCCTGGGTTCTTTAAAACCTGATTTCCCCACATAAGACCATGAGATCCTTCCTGATGCCCCTCCACACCCAGACAAGTGTCTGCCCACCCCTCCCAGACTCCCCATCCCCCTACCTAGCTGTGCACGTGGCTGCCCCAGACTCCACCAAGGTAGTAAGGACCCCTTATCAGAGGCAGGCTGCCACTGGCTCCATTGCTGGGATGAGGTAGACTGAGGCTGAGGGGTGGCTTGGCCCCGCCCTGGGGCTCACACACTCCCGCTCTGTTTCTGCTTCCAGAAGGCAGAGGGCTTGAAGCAGAGTCTGGAGTGGAAGGGAGGAGGGGAGGCAGGGTGGGCAGCCCGGGGCCAGCCCCCACCTTGACCTCGAGACTCCTAACTCAGGGTCCTTGGGGGTTCCAGAAGTTGGCACCCTTTGCACACTGTTTGTGTGCGCATATGTGAAATGTCATTGTGCACATATGTGCTTGAGCATGTGTTTGCCAGTGTGCTGGAGTCAGCACGTGTGTGTGTGGTCTGCACATGCTTTCTCTGTGTGGTGTGCGTGTGTGGGTCTGTACACGTGTGTGCTCTCTGTGTGTCTGCATGTGTGTGGGTATGTACGTATGGTCTGTGCACGTGTGTATGTGTGTTGTCTGCATGTTGTCTCTGTGGGTGTGCACATGTGTGGATGTGCATCTGTGGTCTGTGCACACGTGCGTGTAATGCCTCTGTGTGTGTGGTCTCAGCGTGTGCTCTGAGTGCACACATGCCTGCATGTACTTGGATGTGTGCTCTGTTCGTGTGTGGATGTGTGTGGTGCGTACACACGTGTGCATATGCCTGTGTGTGTGTCTAGTCTGTGTGTGCACAGATGTGTATGCCTCTGTGTGTGGTCTCGGCAGGTGCTCTGCGTGTGCACACGTGCATGTGAGTGTTGGGATGTGTGTGGTCTGCACACGTGTGTCAGCAGGCACCCCGGGGTGTGTGCGTGGTGTGGACGTGTGCAGAGGGAGTGGTGGTGGAGATCGAGCTGCTGTCCGTATTCACCCCGGAGAACTCAGACCTCTCCGCAGGGCGTGCTGCCGGCTACCCTGAGCGTCCCCAGCCCCTCAGCAGGCGTGGAGATGAAGCACGGTGGGGACGCCTTCTGTGTGAGGTAGCTGGGGTGGGGTGAGGTGGGCAGCTCCTTGTGGCCCCCCATGGCTCTGGCCCAAGGTTGGAGGTCGGAGATGGACAGGTGGGCTTGTGGGGAGGTCAGGACCAGGGAAGCTGGAGATGCAGGGACCGCAGGGGTCAGAATGGGGGGCTCTACTCCAGTGTCCAGGGGGAGGAGGGGGCCGTGGGGGTAGCCCGTGTCCCTTCTCCCTGGAGTCCAGGCCTGGTGTGCAGAAACCTTTGGCCCCCAGGACCCAGTGACTCCGGTCACCGCCGACTTCCTGCCTTGTCCCCTTCCCCTCCACCTCTCCGTCATTGTTGTGCTGTGGGTTGGCCAAGGAAAACATGATGTCAGCTTCCAGCACCTTCCGCTGCTCTGTGCTGCCGCCGCCCTCCCACCACCTTGGGATCCTGGATTGACCCTGGGTGGGGGCCAACTCAGTGACCCCTGGGGCCCCCACCTCAGAGGGTCACCTGTCCTTTGTTTAGGAGGTGGGTGACAGGAGGCCAGGGTGGCTCGGGCCAGTGGTCCCCACCTGCCCAGTCTTGTGAGGGTCAGCTCCTAGCTTGTGACACCTGCCGTGGTCAGGAGGACATTGGGGGGGTGTGCGTGTACTCTACACCAGTGCTAGGGACAGCCAGGAGAGGGGCAGGTGCCCACAGCCCACCCGCCGGCTTGGACCTGCCAGGGGCAGCCTGGCTCAGTGCAGCCCCGGCGTGGCGATTGAGGAGGCCCTGATGGTCCCACTGACCTCTAACTGCTGGACTTCAGTTTGTCCCTGGCAGGCTCTGCAGGGGACAGATGGCGGCCCTGGAAGGCCGGGGCACTTCTGCTGTCCTGAGCATGGGCACACTGACCTCAGTTTGTGGAGGCGGTGGGTGCGTGTCCTTCAGCGGACGTCCATGTTCCCACGGTGTTGCCCATCACTGGGAGGACACTGCCTCGTGGTGACCATTTGTGCCGTCGAGCTGTGCTTCCCGCAGTTCTCAGAAGCTGCCTGCCAAGCCTTTCTGCTGCTGTCCCTCGGTTTCTGCCACACCTGTTCCTGGAATCAGGACTGGCTTCTGGGGATGATGGTGACCATCTGTGTGCTACTGTCCCTGGGGACACTCAGCTCTGGGGGGGACGCTAACCTCTGGGGCCATGCTGACATCTGTGGGGTGCTCACCTCTGAGGGGACACTCACCTCTGGGGGGAACTCCCTCTGGGTAAATATCTGACCCTGCGCTCTGGTCCCATGGACTCCAACGCAGTTGTGAACCCAGAAGGGGGAGGGCGGTTGTAGGGGACCACATCCGTCACGTCACCCCACCGGGTGCCCAGCGTCCATGTGCCTGGAGGCCGTGTCTCTTTCTGTGGCCCTCGTGCCCTCTGAGGACCGCCACGTGGCCTTATCCTCTGTACCACGGCTGCAGGGCACTGGGTGCACACCCAGCCCCCTGACTAGAAGTGTCTGCATATGTAAGGGGGTGCTGTGTGGGAGAGCTTGGGCACTCAAGGCTGGAGTCCCCCTCTGCGGACTGTGAGTGTGGAGGGGGTGGAGAGGAGGTACAGCAGGACAGAGGACCCCCTTTCTGAGACTTTAAGGGTTTGAAGGGCCACAGGGCCCTGAGATTTGCCCTCCTGAGAACTCGGGGGCAGGGGAGGGGACATGGCCTGGGTCTACCGTCTTGGGAACTGTGGGAGTAAAGATGGGTGCAGGGGGCTGTGGGGGTGGGGAGGGACACAGCGCATGTGGAGAGGGTCTACCTTCCTGGGGGCTGTGAGGCATGGGGAGTGGGATCTGGCTTCCTGGGGCTGTGGAGATGTGGAGGGGGTCTCCCTTCCTGGGGACAGTAAGCGTGGGAAGAGGTTCTGCTTTCCTGGGGATTGTGGGGGTGGGGACTGTGATTTGCTTTCCTGAGAGCTGAGGCCTTGGGGAAGGGCTTCTGCCCTCGTGGGGACTGTAGGGGTGGGGAGGAAGTTGGGGGACAGGATTCTGCCTTCCTGGGTTCGTGGGGACAGAGAGGGGCAGAGTTAGGGACCGTGGGGGCAGGGAGGGGTACAGGGGGCTGGGGCTGCTTTCCTGATCAGTTTGAACCTCCAGTCTGAAGTCTTCCTCTCTTCCTAGGTCTGGCTCAGAAGAAGACAACCCCAGGAGAGGTGAGTGTCCAGGGAGGGGCTGGGGGCCGGCTGTAGATAGGACAGGTGGCAGGGGTGCTGGGTGCAGGCTGGTGAGGGGCTGGGGGCACCATAGGAGGAGCAGGTGCAGGCGGGGTGGGCAAAGGGCTCCTGAGGCGGGAACAGGACAGGGGGCCGTGGAGGAGGCAGCACGTGGTGCTGGGCCTTGAAAAATTAAATGTGATTCCAGAATCTTCTGTCTGGTGTGCAGCCTATTGGCGGCGGCTTTGCCGCGCGCCTTCACTCAGCAAGTTTCCGCAGTCAGGGCTGTCACAGACCCGGTTCTGGACGTTCTTGTTTTGCTTTGCTCCTCAGTCAACCCAGACCCCACTGCCCCTGGTTCTCACTCAGGACCCTGCAGTGGGCTCCCAGGTCGCTTATGTTACTGCAGGAAATTGCACGTCTTCCTCCTGAGACGTGGCTGGTGGGTTCAAACCACAGCCTTGGGTTAACCCCACGCTTAATGCCTTACACCACCAGGGCTCCTTATCTACCGAGAATGTTCTAGAACATCCCTCAGAGGGAGGCTGTGCCCATCGGCGGGCACTCTCCAGTCCCCCAGCCCCACACGACCGCCAGGCACCTTCCTGTCACAAAACATTTTCAAGGTTCTTCAAAGGGGAGTGTGTGTCTCCGACCTTCAGTTCTCTGCACAGTGGAGACCTTGTGTTCTGTCGGTCCATGGTCTGTGGATGGACAGGTGTGAATGCACCGCAAAGTGTTGGTCCGTCCTGTGTCGATGGACCGCATGGTGTTGGTTTGTCCTGTGCGGATGGACGTGTGGATGGACCGCGTTGTGTTGGTCTGTCCTTTGCGGATGGACACGTGTCGATGGACTGCGTTGTGTTGGTCTGTCCTGTGCGGATGGAGACGTGTGGATGGACCGCATGGTGTTGGTCTGTCCTGTGCGGATGGACACGTGTGGATGGACCACCTCGTTTTGGTACATCCTGTGCAGATGGACATGTGTGGATGGACCTCACTGTATTGGTCTGTCCTGTGTGGATGGACACGTGTGGATGGACCGCGTTGTGTTGGTCTGTCCTGTGCAGATGGACACGTGTCGATGGACCACGTTGTGTTGGTCTGTCCTGTGACCTCGTGGGCAGTCTTTGCTGGGGTGCTTTGAGAGGTGGTGATATGGTGACACGGTTGGGTGCTGGGGGGAAAGCCTGTGTCTGTTCTTTGTCCCCTTCTCCTCCCCCGTTCCTCACACATCCTGGTGTAACTGAGTCCATGCTCTGTCCTGTGGAGCAGACAGATGGTACATGGACTGACTGCCCAGGGCCTGGCACATGGACAGTTCTGGGGCTGGGGATCCTGTGGGTGGCACTCTGGAGAGCCCTGGGCTCTCAGGTGTTGGCAGTCTGTGCCAAGGCCCTGTGGTGGCAGTGGATTTGGGGTGAAGACTCCCCGAGAGGCTAGTGTACTGGAAAGTTTAGGAGGACCTCCACTGTGCAAGCCTGGGGTCAGTGCTTGGGAGCCCTGGAGGGCGCTGGGCAGAGGAAGAACCGGCTTGACTCAGTGCTCACGAGTGCCCTCTGGCAGCCGCTGTGGGAATAGACAGTGAGAGACCAGGAGTCCAGGGTCCAGGGAGGCGATGGGAGGCTGCGGAGGGGAAGTGGGCGGGTCTGGGAAGACCTCAGCCTCTACAAGGCCCAGCAGGCAGGAGGACTTCCCGACAGTGGCCGTGGGAGGGAGGAAAAAGGAGGAGCTGAGGGCGTCTCCCTGGTTCTGCTGGGCAGATGGAGGTGGGGGACATGGGAGGACCAGGTTGGGGAAGGCTGGGCACTGTGTCTGTGGAGGAATCCCCCGAGTTGGTGACCGCCGGACATGGGGTCCTGAGCTGGGGGAGATCTGGGCTGGGGATGGGGGTTTTCCAAGTCCTGAGAAAGATCAAGATGGTCAGGAGGGGTGGAGGTGGAGGAGGAAGGAGACAGGAACGGAGGTGTCATAGAATGGGGAGCCAGGTCAGCACCTCCACACCAAACCGGCAAGGGATTGTCACCTGCAGGACCCTGGATCTGAGTCCATCCCCTGGCATTACCCAGGATAGTGGGCTTGGGGAGCCTGCCCAGTGACCCCCGAAGGACTGTGGGGAAGAACACCATGGGCAGGCGAGTGGGAAGGTCCCTTTCCTTAGAGTCACACGCCCTCTGGTGGCCAGTTCAGAGAACATTCTGGAACTGGGTGGAGGACCTTTCTCATTGATGGTCAAGAGTGGAGGGAGGGTGGTCGGAGTCCTAGACAGAGAGACACAGGTCCACGCGGTTGTGTGGGAGAGCTGACCAGGGAAGCACTAGTGGACTCACACCTCAGACAGGTCTAAGGGCTACACATGATGCTTTCCAAACAACAGTGACAGGTGGGGCCTCCACCATTCTGTTCCCTTAACCTCAACCCCAAGGCTCCTTCTGCCCTGTTCCCGTGGGCTCCCACCCCTGTCCCTCCAAACTTCCTCAGACTCTGTTTCCCCAGATACCCCCAGCCCTCAGCCCCAGGCCTCCATTCCTGTCCCCACAGATGCTCCACCCCTGTCTTCCAGATAGATAGCCCACCCCTGTCTCCACAGACCCCCTGTCTCCCTCAGATCCTCCATCCTTGTTCCCCAGGCTCCCCACACTTGTCTCCCATACCCCCACCCTTGTCCACCCCCAGCCCCGGCCCTGGCTCCTGCTCTTGTCCCTCCAGGCTCCCTCGGCCCCAGTGTCCTGTCGCATCCACCCTGCCCGGGTCTGTGTGACACTCGGCCAGCAGGGAGAGGCACTGTTCTCTATTACTTTCGTGCAGTGAGTCTCACCCAGGCGATGTCGAGGGACATTTGTGGGTGTCAGATACGGTCGTGCTGCTGCCACTGAGCCAGGGGAGACCAGGGATGCCGCCCAGCACCCCGCAGTGCCCCAGACGCAGTGCCTTGTCAACAGGGAGGGCCAGCCGCCTTCTCCCTCCTCATAGGGAAGTCGGTTTCCTGTGGGGCCCGGAGAGGGGGGAGGTGACACTCTGCCTCATGTCCATCTCGGCCCAGCTGGGCATGGTGACTAAGCCCCTGCTTTGCCAGGATTTCTGGAACATTCCATATGGGCGGCAGTGCCTCCTGGCTGCCTTATAAAACTTCCTGTTTCCTCTGCCCAGGCTCCACTGATGACTGGACAGCTGGGCCCAGGCCATGGGAAGAAGCTGGGCCATCGAAGCGTGGACGCCTCTGGAGAAACCACCTACAAGAAGGTGCCTTGCTGTGTTGCTCTTAGTCGGCCCTGACTGGGGTGGGCAGTGGGAGAAGGGTGGGCTGGAGGCCAGACCCTCAACCCATCTACTTCCCTACGGGTCTCCCCCCAACGCATACATACGCAGCATCGCTGGTAGGGGGCTTACTCGGGCCATGTTTGCGTGACCAGAGCCCTCCCTCTCGTCCAGTCTCCCTCTCTCAGCGGAACCCCAAGGCTTGACTCTACTCCTCGTTGCTGGGCCCCGCCCCTTGTCCACATTCCACCCACTATCGGGGCCTCCACGCACCTCTCAGATAGGTTCCACCCTTCAACCAGGCTCCACCCCACCTAGGAAACCCCACCGTACCCAGCCCCACCCCTCAGCCTGGTTCAGTGTCTCCAACCCCACCTCTAGACCAGACACCACCAGATGCCACCCTTCACAGAGGCTCCCCCTCACCAAGCCACACCCCTGCCCTGCTCTACTACCTGCACCAAGCCACACCCCCATCAACCAGGTTCTGCCCACCTACCAAGCCCCACCCCACCTATTAACCAGGTTCCACCCTGCCCGCCAAAGCCACACCCCTCAGGCCGGCTCCACCCTGCCCACCAAGCCACACCCCATCAAACAGGTTCTGCCCACCTACCAAGCCCCACCCCACCTATCAACCAGGTTCCGTCCACCTATCAAGCCACACCCCTCAGGCCGGCTCCACCCCACTAAGCCACACCCCACCTATCAGCCAGGCTCTGCCCACCCGCCAAGCCACACCCCCCTGCCTGGCTCCACCCTGCCCACCAAGCCACACCCCCTATCAACCAGGCTCCACCCACCAAGCCACACCCCTCAGGCTAGCTCAGCTCTGCCCAC